TGGGGTCAGAATACCAAAAATTGGGTTAAATCCCAGCCCAGCAGCTTCTCGGGATTTGGTCTCACTTAAATCCCAAAATCGGGGGTGAAAAACCCAAAAAATTGGGTTAAATCACATCTCTGCGGCTCCTCGTCCATGGGTTTCACCTGAATCCCGAAAATCCGGGGGGAAAAACCCCAAAAATTGGGTTAAATCACATCCATGCAGCTTCTTGTCCGTGGGTTTTACCTGAATCCCGAAAATTCAGGAGGAAAAACCCCAAAAATTGGGTTAAATCACATCCCTGCAGCTTCTTGTTTGTGGGTTTTACCTAGATCCCAAAAATCCGGGGGGAAAAACCCCAAAAATTGGGTTAAATCACATCTCTGCGGCTTCTCGTCCGTGGGTTTCACCTAAATCCCAAAAATCTGGGTGAAAAACCCCAAAAATTGGGTTAAATCACATCCCTGCAGCTTCTTGTCCGTGGGTTTCACCTGAATCCCGAAAATCCTGGGTGAAAAACCCCAAAAATTGGGTTAAGTCAAATTCCTACAACTTTTCATCAGTGGGTTCTATCTAAATCCCAAAAACTGTGGGTTAAAAACCCCAAAAATAGGGTCACAAACTCAAATTGGGGTCAGAATCCCAAAAATCGGGTTAAAAATCCCAAAAATTGGGTTAAATCACATCCATGCAGCTTCTTGTCCGTGGGTTTCACCTAAATCCCAAAAATCCGGGTGAAAAAACCCCAAAAATGGGGTCAGGAACTCAAATTTGGGTTAGAATCACAAAAACTGGGGGTGAAAAACCCCAAAAAAGGAGTTAAACCCCAGCCCTGCAGCTTCTGGCCCATGGGTTCCATCTGAACCCCAAATCCCTTTTAGGATTTTCCCTGACCCCAAACCCCATTTTAGGATTTTCATTGACCCCAAACCCCGTTTTAGGGTTTTCACTGCCCCCAAACCCCATTTTAGGATTTTCATTGACCCTAAACCCCGTTTTAGGATTTTCATTGACCCCAAACCCCATTTTAGGATTTTCATTGACCCTAAACCCCATTTTAGG